GTCCTCGTCAACCTGTCAAAGCAACAACAGAGAAAAGATAAACACGGCCCTGGATTTAGCGGGCATCATTCTCTGGAGGAATAAACAAATATACCAAAACGACGGTGGAGGCTGTGAAGACCGGTTTTACCGTGTCCTTGTATAAATAGGGAAAATACTAAAATGTAATTTTTTTTTATATATATATATATATATATATAGCGCAGAGTATTCTCAGTTTTTTATATTTTTGGTCGTGACTATATGACGAATATGTCATACAAGTCAACCAAATCAATGCTTTCAGTATTAGAATACTTAATGTATCTTTGAGTTATTTTTTTTATTTTATAAAGAATATTATTATATTTTACCAGAGAAAAATAATATTAAATCTCAAGAAGTTAATGGCATGTGGAAGACATGTAGTGCTCAAACTTATTTATTTGTCATGTATCTAGATATATTGATAACCTCTTTCAATTAATACGGCGCATGTATTTATAGTTAGATGGTTTGTTAATAATTAATTATTATTTTTTTTTGAAAAATTGAAGATTGTTTTTTTTAAAAAAAAAATTATGATTTTTTTTTAATATATCATGGTTTTTTTAGAAAAAAAATTATAATTAATATCATTACCTTTTATTTTATTAACTAATTAAAATAAAACCAACTTATTAATTTCAATTGGGGTTTTCACTCAAATTATTAATTTCTTTTATGTTTTAAAAATGCATTTACATCATCATTTTTTACGGCAAAACAATAGACCCGTGCGAGAGATACATGCAACCACATTTGGTGGCACTACAGAATAGATTTGGTAAGAGAAAGGGTTCTTTTGTGAACTTTCCTCCCCTTCCTGACCAGCAAGTGATAGCTTTCCGTATGAGATTGTTCCAAGGAGTACAGATCCTTGTAGAGCATTCTGCAGAATTTCAAGGGTATTGTTCTTTTACCGCAGGAGTTGGGAATCGAAGGGGTGATACCTTCGGGAGCTTGTCTTTCACCTTCACCTCCTCGAGCTAACGCATGGCATTCTCGCTACATCAGTGGCAGGAAGTAACAAGAAACAAGGTGATCCCGAAACAAGCTGCCGGTGCCCTTACTTAGAAGTGTTCCTGTGGGAGGTGGACGCCGTATAAACAAGAAAACCAAAAGCCCAAGTCTCCATTCTCATTGGAAGGCTAGCGGGTTATTTTTCTTGACATTACTCAAATATTGTCGTGGTTCAGTGATTTTTCAAAGAGTTATTTTTCTAAATTTTTTTTGCTACAATGTTGTTTTATGTATAGAAAAACCATGGTCATAACATTTGCAGATTATTGCTGTGAATCTTTTTTTATCTAGATTAGTTTTTTCAGCGCATGGCCTGAAGAAGCAGCAGCCTTCAACATCTCGGTGCCCCTGCTTGTGAAAAACAGTTATTTTTTCTTTTAACCCATTTAATTGTTTTTACATAAGAAAACATGTAGAAGATGTTTCCACCAGCCTCAGAAGAATGAAATAAATAAGGAATGGCAGCACAAATTCGAGCATATTCGAATATGAGCTGCCCGTGCTGTCCTTGGTCTAGATTTGTCAACTTACCATGCCTTTTGACGAGTACATATTCCTGCATGTGCGTTGGGCACACACTTAAAAAGTTATTCTCGAGCCTGGCCTACTTTATCGACAATTTTGTCAACTTCAAGAGGAGAAAAAACACAAAATAATATTATCTTAATAAAAAATTATGAACGATAAAGTTCGACATGATTGTTTGGTACTGTGATTTTTATTTTTTCAATTATTTTAATGTCCCCGTGCTGTATTAGTCGGCACTCACTAGATCAGAGAAAGGACGTCGCGCTGGGGCGAGGCGGGGACCATGTAGCCAAAATTAGCAATGTTACCTCATGGATCCACCGAGATTGCAAGGGACATCAAATCTCCTTTTTCCCCTTAAAGTTGCTGTTTGCTAATAATCCTCCTATCCCAATTGTTTTTATCTCAATGCTACCCCATGGATCCACCTCAGCACAGGGGTTAAATAAGTTCATAAAAAGTAAAATTAAAGTCTTGAGATATTGTTTGATTTAAAGTCTCAAGATATTGGTAGGAAAGATATGATGGGAGCCGGAATGAAAATGAAATTAAATATAGTTTTGTATCCGTTAAAGGAGAATGATAATAAAAACAGAGTTTGAGAATGATTTTTTTCTTTGATAATATGTTATTTATATTTATTATATATCAATTATTTTTATCATTATCACCTGCTAATATTGTCATCACCAACCATTAATAGTGGTGATAACTTATTTTATTTTATTTTCACTGTTGCCGTCGTTGTTTTCCACCACTCTCACCATTTTTCTGGACCATCACCACCTCTTTCCACCACCATCCCTAGTGGTGATGGAATTAAAATATATTATTATAACTATTATTAATATCATATGTTCCTTCTTCTTTTTTTCATCTTCTTTTTATTCATTGTCACCATCATAACAATCACTTCAATTATTATTTTCATCTTAATAAAATTATTGTCTTTTTAATTTAAAAAACAAAATATTCAAAATTTATGGGCGATGCTATTGCTATCCCACAGAAGCATCATGAGAACTAAAAAGTCGTTATAGATATTTGGAGAGCCCTAAATTAGTCCCTAACTTATATATCCATTTTCAATTGATTCCTGGAGTCATAAATTTTATTAACTAACTCCCAGATGTCTCAAATCTTTTTTAATTGGATCCTTTTTTTTTCAAATTGTATTAATGTTTTCCATCCGGTATGCATGTTTGTCAATGATATGACGTTTTCCGCACAGTAAAATCCGACATCAAATTTATCAAAAATGGAGAGAAGGACCCAATTGAGATATCTAAAATATTTGGGATGTAATGGATAAATTGCTTGTGTTGGGACGCTGTTCATGGTTAGGTTTTATGCCAAGGGTTAAATCGAGGTATACCTGAACCTTTATACTTGAAAAGGTATGGACAAAACATTTAAACTAAGTAGATGACGATGGCAGGAAAAAGAAAAAAAAGGAGACTTTTCAATAACATACAAATCAATTAATCAATTGAGCGAGACTTTTTAATTACACTGAAGGTTTGTTTTTGTATATCAAAAATATTTTTTTTTTAAATAATTTAGTTAATTATTTTTTGTTTTAAATCAATATTTTTTTATATTTATAAATTATTTTGATTTGCTAATATTAAAAATAATTTTTAAAAATAAAACAGTTAATTGTATGTTTTAGATAGGTGATATTAAAAATAATTTTTTGAATTGTAAGGTAATATTAAAAATAAGTTTATATGGCTAAAATATATTGTACTAAGAGATAAAAATAATTTTTTGGACGGCGATCTCAGATTTGATTCGATTTATGCTTACCCACTTACGCCTCCCAATATTTTTCGGATCCAAAATGGGGAGAGATTGAAAGAATGGGCTCTGCTATTGCAACGCGAGGCTCCTTACAGAGACAGTAGAATCGTAGTGGGCTTGTTTATTATTCCTTTCCGAGACAAGTGGGATTCTCATATTGCAGGCCTGGAAATGCAGAAAGATTTTGCCAGTAATGGCCTTCTGGCCCAGTGACAAAAAACAAACAAAAAAACAGCGAGGGGGATCTGATTTTACCTCTCTCCTCTTCTTCGGTGGCACCGAGGTTCTGACTCGGGACAAGTCTCGGGTAAGGTACAAAATGCAAGTCTACTATCCTACTGTTCGATGATCTTTCACCTAAAATATACGAGGAAAATATGTGAAGCTTAGAGTATCCAATCAATCAAAACGATGGCATTAAAGGAAGAGAGAGGGAGATTTCTGAATGAAATATTTTAAGGATATCTTTAGGCCATAGGCCATTATCAAGATTAAATTTTAAATAGCTCCGCGAGGTAAATGCCAAGACCACTGATATTATTCACTCGATCCAGATCCAGATTCCTTTCCCAGATCGCTGTTATCCTTAAAATTGGACATATTCACACAATAAATTAATAAAAAAGCTGAACTAAAAGAAACATAAACCAATATACAAATATAAATTGGCGTGGTGGCAGATAAAAAAAAAATATATATATATATATATATACAAACAGCCAGATCGGACTCTTAAGCCGCGGCATGTGACGTGCTTGTGCCCTTCAAACAGTTGTTTTCATTACATTTCCGTAGGGGGGCGTTGCTTTGCCCTAAACATTTTTTATTAGTTATCGGAAGACTTTGATTAGTTATCGGAAGACTTCGATCACACGAAACCTAACAGTTGGCGTTAGGCCATCTTTTTTAAGCAAAGCCTTCGATTCATTCTTGGTGCAGGAAAGTTGTTCACCTTCACATGGAGGTAGCGTGTGCAGGGACACAAAGTAGGTCATAAATGCCTTCATTTTCTGGATTAACCTAAACTTGGCTTTGAAGCTGAAAGAAACTCCATCTGTTGGAAGTTCAACTTCAAATTCCTCGCCGTGCCTATACTGTGATTGTGTGGAGCTGTCATGCAATATATTATTTCTTTTGTAACAGTCATGGTATTTTCATACCAGTTTTGCATTTATGACTAAAATCCCTCCCCAGCATGTTCTAAAATGCATCACTTGCACCTGCTCCATATAGAAGAAAATATTCCTTCAAAAGCTATCAGATTCTAGCTCGAGGAAACCTAACATGGTATTCAGAGTAGAATCATTATGTTTTGGGGATTTTCAAGTTCAGATTTAGCTGGAACCGATAGCTTTGCATCAGTCCTAAAATTCGGAAGCGCGTGCTGCAATGAAGATGAGAAATGACGTCTCTTTAGTTGCTTTTGTTGGAGCATGTAATAAATTGACTCGTTAATAAATAAGAATTCATCCTCCAAAAATAAATTAATTGTATCACATCACATCAAGATTGACTCGGCAATAGTTCCCGGTCATGCATGATACCAATCAAAAAAATTAAGGAGAAAAGGAAGACCAAGAAAACTCAAGAGGATCATCAACAGAAGATAGGGAACAGCCATCACAAGAGAGCAACAAAGGACAACTAATTTCTTTGACTTCTCTGTTCTATCAAATTTGAAAGAAAAAAAAATGTTTTACAGCAAATAAATCAATGAATGTAAAAAAGAAAGAGAAAACACTGTAGATTCTGTTAGAGCAGGTTCCTTATTCCATCAAATCATTTACAAATGCCAGCCTCACGGAGTTTGGGAAGGTGGCAACGAATCAACCTGAGCATGAAAAATACTAAATAAATTTGAATACTTTGTACATCTCCTGTTTCCTGTCCGTGTCAACATCTCTTTCTTTGTACATCATATTGAGTGGCTATCTTCAACTCCATTTCTAACAGCATGAGCGACAGTGATCTTTAATATAGCAGCCTGATTCTTGCTATGTTGCTTAGCTTGATGTTGAGACCAGTAAGCATGAGCAGCCAAGACTCTGTCCAAGAGCTCCTGGGGAACAGGCTCGCCCCTTCTTTGCTGAGGGGCAATCCGAGCTGTGTGAACCAATGTCTTCCATTTATCCTGCACAAACCAAGCACTATAAGCTACAAACAAAAAGCTGTGATACCACCATTGCAAACCTTTGTCGATGAAACAAAGCTCACAAGTAACCTCAATACCTCATCAGAGGCATCGTTTTTAGTCCTTAGGATAGATCAGGGTGGGTGTGTAGTACCTATAGGAACTAAGGGGGAGAGGGCCTGTACAGCCTGAATAACCATCCTACAGCCCCACTGGAGTGGAGTCTCAAAAAGGAGAACTAGCAGGGGCCGTACAGCTTGCCTCCAGAACAGATGATGCTATCATTTTATATGAAAATTAAACAAAACCCTTACCTTCAAATCCACATATGTACGATGGTCTGCATCTTCAAAAGAACGCAATTTAACATCACGCCACCTGCAAATGAGAATATTGTTAAGCTTCAGAAACCCAATCAGATTAAACCTTGATAAGAGGTGCAGCAAACTGAATAGCAAACCTTCCAGTTCCAACTTCCTCAACTGCATGCACAAGTGCTTCTACTTCTGACACAGAAAATGGTCTCCTGGTTCGACGCGGTACAAGTTCAGATCGCTTAGATTTCTGGCTTAAAGGCACCATTGCAAGAGCCTCAGCATTGATTGGTGGAACTGCAACCAGAGCTCTAGAATCCAACAGTGTATCATCAGTTACCATGTCAGAATGGGAGGAAACTGATTCATGATTACTTTCAGTGTTAGTGTCCAAATTAGTCGATGGAGGAGGATCAGGTAAGGCATCAGAAATTCCTGAATCTATAATAGGAGTGGTCGGAGAACTGAAAATAAAGCAAAAAAAAAAAAAAACAAATTAAGTAGTGTAGCAGGCCTAGATAGTGACAACTTAGTGTATTATTTGCTTTACAAAAAGTAAATAGCAGAACAAAAATAATTTGTATTTTGAAAGACAAACAAGCACTGCATAAATTCCAATACCTCGGAATAGTCACTTGGCTTCGATTTCCCATTCAACAAAAAATCAATATAAAAATCAGATTTCAATTACCTTGATATAAGTTGAGATGTGTCACATGGTAATAGTGCAGGATCTTCTGTGCATAAGGGTGGAGGAGCTTGCACAGGAATAGGCTCCAATGAGAAACCAAGGGTATCAAGATTCTCTTTAGAAGTCATACCAGTCTGCAATAGGGTTCTATTGTCATCCCTAATCTTCATTCCATGAAGAAGCACCCCAACTCGTAAACCACTTCCAAGTACAGCACTCACAGCCTCCAGCACAGTTCTCTATAAATGGTCAAATAGGAATAAAATCAAATATCAGGGACTCAGTAAGAAATTCATAGTACTTTTAGCCTAGCAAACTTGTTTTAAAATTTCTAATGCCCAAAAATAACCTATTTACAGCAGGCTTACAGACGAATGATTCTCAATGAGTTGCAATTAAAGGAAAAAATAGTAATGTATGGCAAGAGAAAATATGAACTATACACACACACACACTAGCAGAAATATAAAAAGAAAACACATCTAAAGATTATCCTTGGCATGTTTAACATAACAAGAGGGAAGACCGTGCAACAATTATACCTTCAGTGAACCAACAGTTGCAGTTTCTGGGATCTCAATGAAAAGCTCTGGAACTCTAAAGGACTTAATACTGAACTTCACTGCACAAAAGCATGAAACACATGTAAAAACTCTGGATGCCAGGAAAAATGAACAATAATTCTTCGTACATCAATTATAAACCAGCTATAGTACCATGAGAATCCTTGGAGTGGAAGGGTGATTGATGACCTATAACTGAAGATGATACCCCATTTGCTGCATACGATAACTACAACTATTTAGGAAACTCCAGCACAGAAGAAACCAGGAAACTCAAGACAATACATGGGCAAAATTATTAATGACATAGAAAAGGACCTCCATGAAGCATTACGGCTGTGCCATTCTTGTCTCCAGTCAAGCTCTTATCAGGTGAATTGCAAAC